TTCATTTCCCATTACTGTGTTCTTGGGGACCCACAAGCCATGGTATAATTTGCTTAAAAACTAATTTTTAATCTTAATTGAAATTAAATAAGTTTTGTTTTATTATGAAAATATTAATACAAAATTATATAATGAACAATGCTCACTGCAGTTATAAAAGCCAAATTTTGTATAATTTATATAAATTTCGTATAATTTTAAATATAAAATAGGTAACTGAATAATTTAAGAGACCTTAATTTTGTTCTGATTTTAACATTTTATTATGTTACAAGCTATTACAGTGTCTATAAAAAACAGCATGAATGCATAAATGGGCGCTGGTAATTAAGAGGCCCAGCAGCGGCCGATCGGAGTAAAGTCACTGAACACTTGTAGTTCGGTCCGAAGTTTGAATCCCGTGAACGGGCTGGCTGCATGGGTGTTTTCCCCATGTGTAACGTGTATACGAGGCCAGTTTTCCTTAGCAAGACCCTCCACGAATGGCATCCCTCCTCTTAGGCAATTTTAACCTCTGGAGGCTTTTCGTAATCATATAAACCAACCCAAACCACTGGTAATTAAGTAAAAAGCAGTTTTGATTTTAATTTACCTTCGCTTCCTTTCGTCCATTCAAATTGACCAGCTTTTGTTTAGTTTGAAGGTATGGGAAAAGAAGAAATGTTCGCAAAAAGTATTTATTGAGAGCATTTTTTTTCAAAAATAAGCACGGATTTTTAAATGCATTTCCCTACAAGTTATTTTGATATATTTTTACTCATTGTACATCTAGAAAGATGGCAAATTCAGCGACTCGCACCTCACTCGGCAAAATCAAAGACCGTTCCTTAACTGCAAAAACTTTATTTACGCCATCAATTTTCATTTTCGGAAATTTAATGTCGGGGTCGACGCAAAGGGTCAACAAGCATTTTACTTGAAACTAAAACAAAATGTGAATATCGCCAAATCATCTTTAAATATGCCAAGTTGGCAAACTGAGAAGTAAATCTTCAAGACACCCCTACGAAAAATGGGTCACGGCTCGTTTCTATGGCAACAGACAGCCGCAGACAAACTGGCGAGAGCTGTTCTTACCGTAGACAGACAGTATTCAAGGCAGATAATTTCACTGTGAAAATTGTGAAGAAACTAGGGCTAGTTGTGCTATCTCTTAGCAATATTCAGAAATACAAAAATAATGGTGGAATTTAAAGCGGTGTATGAGTAGCGACGAATTCAGTTTCAACGATGGAGTTTTTCACTTCGCCACATGGCATTTGACACCGACCTTATGAGCACAAAAAAGCCAAATGTGTGAGATGTGATGCTGACCAAGAAGGGGTTCATAAACATTTAATTAAAAAGACACAATAAATATTTCCAAAGGAAAAAAAAAAAAATCACTAACATCATTTGTGTAAAACAAACATTTCCACTGAAGAGCATATGGGTTACCTTAAAGTGTGTAATATATTTCAATTCAAATAACTATGAATAAAATATAAATTCTGAATAAATTTACAGTAGTATAACCAGATACAAACAAGAAAGACAGCTTTTAGTTTCAATAGCAAAACAAAAAATTTCAAAACTATAGAAAGACTGCATTTTGTTAGTATTGCTAAAACCTGCACTAGGTTACTTTTATAAAATAAAGAAGCAGATTTTGTGTCTAAATCTCTATTGAAAATTGCGATGATGATTACAAACAAAATGCATAAGGTAATTTCTCATATCTTTCATTCATTTAGCATTATGAATTTAATTGGAAAGAGTGTTTATAAATATTTCAAAAGCAGTTATTTCAAGAATAATGTAATAAAATTACCAAATAGGATTAAATTCATAGTTAAAGAAAGCATACTAATTTGACTGCTTTAAAGAATTAATTATATTTTGTTATAATGTGGTATGAATATGCTGCATTGAAGTCAATGTTTTTAAAATTTTCATAAGTAGTTTACTATGCAGACAGAAATGAATTCCATGAAATTCTCCTTGTCTTGTGAAACTGGATGTGTATCCTGTAATAGAATAGGATACATACCCAGTTCCTATTCTATTACATCCAATGTATCCTGTAATAGAACACAAAATTACTAATTATTAAAAACACAGATTTATTGAATATAAATATCATAAAATGTTTATGGAAATTTTGGTCATTGAGATTAATATCTGTTTCTTTAGAAATAAAAATAAGCTTCCTGATATCACATAAATGCATGGGTAGAGTAGTAAAGTCTACGTCTTAACAGAGTTGCTGAGTTTCAAATTTCATCAGTTTGGATCTATTAAATTACATGAATGATAAATGATGCCTTCTGTTTTATAACATAAATGTACATAAGCAGACATAGTTGTAAGAAGTTAAGTTTTGTTAATAATTTTTACTCAATAACATCCCAATTACTTAATATCATTCAGTCTACCTACCGATAAATTCAAGCATATGATAATGCACGAGGTTTAATGAAGCACAGAATAAAACACTTTGTAACTAACTGGCATCAAATCAATCATTTTTATGTAATATTTCAAGTGCTTACTTACTATTACATAAAGAAATGGATAAAAAGTGATTCTTTGTTACCAGCTTTGAATTCAAGCTTTGATTTTGCTTCAGGTCTCTTGACTGGCTCTTAGTGCTGTAATATTCCAAGAACTGACTTTGGTACTTCCCATCCACTCACACCCTTGCTTCTAAACTCTCATACAACTTTATCAAATGTTCAAAGATTTATTTTTGAACCCCTACATCTCTATCAGCTTTCTTAAACTTATCCATGAAAGGCTGGATAATAATTACTTAAAATCTAAGGGAGTGTTATTTTATGGAGTATATTCATTAAAGATTCATTTCACTGAAAAGAAAATAATTTTTTTTAATCATCATAAGTATATAATTGCACATAGTAATCTCAGATTACTAATGTACTACCAAGTAATCGAATAATGAATGTAACATTTACATGAAATATAGTGCAAAACTTTTCGCTGGTATGAATTTTTCCCCAAAACTGTAACTTCATTTTTCTTTGAAAAAATTAAATAAAAAGAATATTATTAAGTATTTTCCATTGATAATACAAATTTCATTCTTTTAATTCTTGATTTTTTTTAAAGTTAGTTAATTTATTCTGATCTTTTTACATTTGCAAAGGAAATGCTAAATATTTTTCCTTGGAAATTCTTTGGAAAGTTTGCAAAGGGCCAAAGCTCTTGTGCTTATCAACAAGATAAATTTATGAAATTACTGAAGATAAGAAACATTATGTCTACTTTTTTGACAGAATAATTATTAACTAAACATTAAATTTACATATTGAGTTTTGCACATATCTATATATTATTAATGCAATACATTTTGATTTACAGAGAGTTAAATTTTGTATTTTATTCATATTTAAAAAATATAAATTTTAAAAATACATAAATTAAGTGATATTATATTACTTTAATTTTTAAATGTTATGCTTTCTGAATTATTAAAAAAATTTAAATATTAAACCATTTTTTAACAAATTTTAAATAATAATTTTTGGTGTGTTTTTAAATTTAATACTTAAAATTATTTATACTATATTTATTTTCTTATTTTAGATACATTTACTTTATTTAGATGAAATAAATTAATGAAAAATCGCATGTGAAAAATCCATACTCTTGAAAGAACAAAATTAGTGCTTTCTCATTCAAAATTTAACTGTGATAAACTGTAGGGAAAACTTTAATGGTGCAAGTGGTTCTTTAATGATTTTTCATCGCTGTAAAAGAATTGCCCCGATATTATGGCAAATCTTTGTTATGTTATAAAGACATCATAAGAGTTAGAATGACCTGTTTGTGCAGAGTTAGACCATTTTGCAGTGTCTTTGCTACCTCTTATGTTACTTGGGTAATTAGAGCACAATAAGATGTGTAATACATATTTTACATATAAATAAATATAATAATTAGAGATAATATAATTTTTCATAATTTTATTAATTAGTAACATAAAATGCAATGAAAAATTTTGACAGCTTTTAGCATTACTAACTTACAAAGATTCTTTAGTCACTTAAATTTAAGCTTACATACACTTACACACTAACAAAAATGCAAAATTTTGTATTTTTATTCATATTTAAAAATGTGAATTTTTAAAATATTTAAAATGCATAAATTAATATTAATTGATATTCTATTGTATTACTTAAATTTTTAAATGTTATGCTTATAGTTTTTATATAAATAAGAATAAACAATATTTCTCTTTAAAAGCATCTTAGTTTTATCTTAAGCATATTTTCCATATTTTAACACATTTTCCATAATTTAAAAAATATGAGAATATTGTATTTTAATCAATGTTTTTTTTTTTAATCTGCTGATAAAAATCATGATTTAAATCTTTGATTTTATCATCTAATTCATTGATTTTAGTCATCTAAGTTGTTGACACTTTTATCTCTATCATGTTATAGAATTTTGAGAGAAAAAAACTCATTTGCCCAGACACTAACCCCTCTGCTGACATGTTTCAAGCAATTAAAATACTTAGCTTTTTTTACACCTTGATTAGCTATGGGAACCGATTTACCAAGGGATCATTTTAGTGTGCCAGCAGAGTTTTATTTCAGGAAACTGATGTCTACAAACTGATTGTTGTGCTGTTAAATTGCCATCTTGCTTGCTATTGCTGCTTTTTATCCCCCACCGTTTCATCTCCCACCTTATACTAGAAAAGAAACATTTAAACTTTTGCCAGCTTTTCAAAACAAGGGGGGTAGGAATCTAAAACTCATTATACTGATCTCTAAATTTTGCAACCATGTGCTCAGACTCTGATGGACCATGTTTAAATCCAACCATGGATGAGACTGCTAAGTTGGAAGTGAATTTGTTGGCAAGTAAAATGTTCCACTTAGAAAAATTCTTACATTTGCTTAACATTTTTCAGTGTTCACAGTGCATTTATCAAGTGATACTCTTTGTTGACTGTTTGTTATTAGAACATTATTATTTTTTATTAGGTCTTGAAGGAATTGAATTAGAGACTGGATTGAATCTTTTATCTTTGATAGAAGTGAAAAGCTTATCAAAACAGTTCAATTTTTCTTCTGGAAAAAGTAAAACTGAAATCATCGGTGCACTTTTGAAACATTGCAGGCAGCACAAATCAGTCTTTTTTATGAATGGAAAAAATAATATTACTAATACGATGCTAAAAAAGTAAGTTGTTTTTTAATGCTGAAAAGTCACAGAATCATTCCCTTATGTTTATGACATTAAATCTTTTTTTTTTTTTTTTTTACTGTAAAGAATATTAAATTTTTAAAACTTCTAAAATATTTTATTAATTACAAAGTATGATTGAATTGCATGATCAGTATTGCTTTCAGTGGGATCTGTAGATCCATTTTGGGAACAGTATAATTATGAATTGTAAATTTAAATTTTTTTTTTCCAATCAGATTTTTATCAAATTTGATCAAGCACATGTGATAACTGCTAAACTCATAGTGGTATGTTTGTTATGACATTTTATCAAATCACTTTTAAAGAAATGTGTTTCATCTGGTTGCCACAGAAACCCAGATTACTGCTGATTTTACATAGATGCTGCATAGATGATACATAGATGATACATAGATAAAATCGAGATTATGGCCAATTAATACTAAATGGTAAAATAATAATTTAAAAGTCAAACATCAAACAATAAAAATCAGCATTATAGTATTTGCAAATTAATTTGCAAATATAACATTGATTTTTGTTGTTTGACTTTCAAAGTAATATTTATTCGTCATTTTATTTTAACCTAAATGATAAAATAATGCCAGTTTTGTACCTGGAATATAGATTAAAAGCAGAATTTTCAGAGACTTTGTATTGTTAATTTGGAGATAAATTTTCATGCTCTCTTTCTAATTCCATCATAAGAATCAAAGGCATTTATTGAATATTGTTTGGGGAGTGAAATTATGTTATCAAAAGCTGTGCAAGGAGGGGAATAATATAAATGCAAAACAGTGTTGATAGTCTACAGTTGTAAAAAGGAAGAAAATTAAACTAAATATATACTTCTTTTCTGATAAAATCTGGCCCACCAGCGGCCGAGCGGTAAAGTCGCTGAACACTGGTAGTTCGGTCCGAGGTTCGAATCCCGCGAACGGGCTGGATGCATGGGTGTTTTCGTGGTTTTCCCCATGTGTAACGTGTATACGAGTCAGTTTCCCTTAGAAAGTCCTCCACGAAAGGCATCCCTCCTCTTAGGCAGATAGCCCTTGTGTGCTTTGCCATAATTAAATACACACACACACACTGATAAAATCTGTTATTTATTTTCTTATAATTAATATCACTGATTTTTTTCCTTTCTGGTTTTACATGTTAAATTCTGTTTGTTTTTGTCTCATTTTAATGTGAAGAATATCTTTCATAAAAAAGTGTAAATGGTAAAAACTAAGATACAGTAAACTCTGTCATGATGACAAACTCTGAAAATGATTGCAATTTTCTGAGGACCTAAACAAGAACTGTCTTATAATAGTAATATTATTTCTTAAGACAACCACTTCTTAACCCAGCTGTGATCATCAAGAATATGTAAAAGAAATATCAACCTTTTACATTTTCATGCATTAATTTAAAAAAAAAAAATAGTTAAAATGTGCCATACAAACTTATTCCCACTTTGAGTTCTTTTTTAAATATAGTAATAGTTATGGATAAAATAATTTACTACATGTAGCATAATGTAAATGCTTTAGTAGCTTTGACCGCCTGACTGGTATGTGCCTTTAACTGGTCATAAGGTTTCCCCCCCCCTCACTTGGCATGTATTAGTTCATAATTTAAAATATTTGGCTTTCTTACTTTCTTTAATGATGTAACTATCGTCTTAATTAATGGAAGTTTGTTAAAGTAGAGACATATGTGAAGCATCTGTGAGCAGTGAAAATTCATGTTTTATGTTCAATAAAGAATTGGTTTTTTGAGATCTGTAAGTTCCATTTGTATGTTACTAGGAATCATCAAAATGATTTGTTTTGTTAGTGAAAAGGGATTTATATAGATTGTTGCAGTTATCTGAGTATATTCTGTAAAGATGCCATTATCTTTAATAGATTCACTATGTTCCTTTAACCTAAAGGTTCTCAAATATGCTATTTTTTATTGTTTAGTTTATGAAACACATTAAAAGTTATCTAAATCTAAATAAATGCATACCTGTACTTTCCAAGTTTTGGAAAGGAGGAGGGGTAATCTTCTTGCAGTGGTGAAAGAGATGCATGAGGCAAGAAAGATTGAGAACCACTGCTTTAATCCCTTCTTTCCACAACATCATGTGAGAACCTGTGGGGGGGGGGAAATCAGTCCAAATGCAAGAACTAGAGATGAGGGCTATGGTGCATTGGTTGAGCCAAACATAAATAATACATCAGGTTTGTAGTTCATAAATCGATCCAGATATAAACAATATGTATCAGGCTTGTGTTTAGTTGTTACTGGTGTATTTCTGTTTTGGTTATATATTATTTTACTAACAATGCAGTAAGCATTTGAGTCAGAATTGGCATATAGTTATGATTTCTAATGCATACAGGTAATAGTAAAATAAATCAATATGACTCTGCATCTGAAAACATGGTCATGGGGCTGTTGCAGTCAGTGTTGTATAAGGTATTTTCTTCCTTTCTGCATGCCTTCGTTATATAATGGTTAGCACACTCAACGCGTATTCCAGAGGTCCTGGTGAGGGCATTGCTTATGTTTCGAGTCTCCCGCATAAAAATAACGTAATGGGGCCCACCAGCGGCCGAGCGGTAAAGTCGCTGAACACTGGTAGTTCGGTCCGAGGTTCGAATCCCGCGAACGGGCTGGCTGCATGGGTGTTTTCGTGATTTTCCCCATGTGTAACGTGTATACGAGCCAGTTTACCTTAGAAAGTCCTCCACGAAGGCATCCCTTCCCTTAGGCAGATAGCCCTAGTGTGCTTTGCCATAATTAAATACACACACACACACAAAAATAACCTAATGTCTCTACATTGGTGCCCAAGCTAAAAGGTGTGGATGATAATTCTTCAACAACAGGATTTGGCAACTGAGATTCCCCTAATCTCCAGTAGCTCTTTAAAAGGGAGAGTATATAAAGTATTTTTAACCTCCTTTCTGTATGCCTTCGTGGTGTAACGGTTGGCACACTCGACGCGTATTTGAGAGGTCCAGATTCAACTCCCACCAACAGCATTGCTTATTTTTCAAGTCTCCCACATAAAATAACCTAATGTCTCTACAGTCTGATGTTACAGTCGCATTACAGTGTGCTTTATATGTACCTAATTGGCACTATTCACTAAAACTTTTTATAACTTTTAGTTTAAAACAGTAAAAGTAATGCTGTTGGACAATATGTTTCTGTAGGAAGAATATACAAAAAGATTTTATTAAAGAAAAATTAAAAAGGGAGAATGTATGATGAGAAGCTGGAATGGTAAACATTAGAGAAATATTAAGGAATGGTACATTACATTGCATTATATTAAAGAATGGTAAGTGTTAAAATAAAAGGTAAACGAGACAATCATAACATTTCTGCTAAGCATGAAACTTCAGAAATGAATGAACAAGTCATTTGATTCTACTTCAAAACCAAAACGTGTTATTTAGTGCCATAAAGGAAGGACTAAAATTGGTAGCCAAGATCAAATTTTAACATTCTTTCTTGTTATAAGAAAATATCAAAAATTCTAAAATGTTTTCATTTATACACTTTATATTGCACTTTTTAACTTTACATTTTAAATTTAGCTTTTTTTGTTGCTTAAAAAAAAAATAATAGAGTGTCCCAAAACTCTCGAAGAAGTAATTTTGATAGAAAACTCAGGTTTATAATTAAATTTTTTATTGATTCATAAAGTATACAGTAGGGTATAAAGTATAGGGTTTTGTATGGAATAGCACATCAAGTAAATGCCTCCAGAGCTTTTCTGGTGCAAATGCACTCTTTTCTTGAAATTTTTCATAATCATTTTGCATAAATGTAGCTGAATTTTGTTGATACAGTACTCAATTCCCTCCTTCAAGGCATGGGTGGTCTTGGACTTATTAGCATAAATTTTAGACCTTCAAAGCACCCCAAAGGAAAAAGGTCCTATGGCAATAAATCACGGGATCTAAGTGGCCAATTATGATCACTAGAATGAGAAATTATACAACCAGGAAATGACTCATGCAGTAATTGAATTGCTTCTCAGTCTGCACAGCATGCGTTACCATCTTGTTCGAACCACGTGTCCTCCATACCCATATCTTGCAATTTAGGCACAGAAAGCTGCATTATGATGCCACAATAGCAAGCACCATTATCTGTTATTTCCTGATCAGCCACATTTTTGAAGAAGAATAGTCCGATCGTGCCTCCAGCTCAAAATCCACACCAAACAGTAACACATTGTGTATGCATTTGTTTCTCTACAATCACTCGTGGACTTTCTGAATCCCGAATCTAACAATTTTTTTTTCAATTAATTAAAACATCAAGATGAAAATGAGCCTCATTGAAGATGATTTGGTTTCAAAAATGAGCATCTATTTCTTGTTCCATAACCCATTCAACGAACCGTCTTCATCGTGCATGTTCAGTAGGCTTTAACCCATTAACCGCCAAAACTACAAGGTATGTTTCTTTTCTCATGAAAATAATAAAAAATATTAAATTAAGCATTTATAAATCCTGCGCTTATAACATAAATTATTTATAACATAAATTTACATTGAAAATAAAAAAAAAAATGCTCTTACCTATGGAAAAAGCGAGTGTTGCGTTCGAGCAACGTCAGCGCAATAAGACTACGGATGTTTAGTGAGTAGGATTGTACTCGTGTAATGTTTCTTTTGAGTGGAAGCGCAGGATTACTCTTTAGCTGTATAACGTTTTATAAATCTTCAAATCACTTTACTTGTAATTAATTTAATATTAAAGTATACATTGTATTTCTTTTACAAATACAGATTATTTCAATTGAAAGATTCAAATAGAAAAGCTTGATTACAATCATGATATAAAGCTACATACCATTGCACTAAACGTGCTTGGACTTTCAAAAGTTTTGTTATCAATACTTATGGTCTAAATTAAATGTTTGCGACATTTTCATTATTTTTTCTTTTACACTTCAAAAATGCATGAAAATCTGATTAACTGTTTTTTAATATTATTTATTGTTCTATAATTAAGTTCATTACAACACTTTCACATAGCACATTGTTTATTCCACACGAACATTAACTGACAATTACTTCACTTCAGTTTGACCAGCAACTAGTGTGTTGCCACATATATGTAACATCTCCCCTCTTTTGGGAAACTCATAGGAATCAATGCATTACATAATTATCATATTTGGATGGTCGATATACATTACGACCACTTCTTGTTTTATATACACAATCACGATTAATATTATTGCTATTATTTTGATGGTGAGGATCATTATGTATTTTTGGATGTTCACTACTTATATTTTCCTCATTCTCATTACATAGATCATAATAGTCTAATGTCACTAAATTCTGATTTTTAGTTTTTCTTAAATGGAATTTATTCCGTCTAATTACCCTATTATCTTTTGTTCTAATCCAATATGATCTAGGAGTTGAATGCTTTTTTAAAACTATAGCAGGCTCCCATTTATTTTCCCATCTCAACATTACCTTTTCCCCAGGAATAAATTCAGGTCTTTCCCTTGCATGCTTATCATAATAGATTTTAGCCTGTTTCTGCTTACTCCTCACCTTTTCTCTATATTGATCTTTTACAGTTGGTTTCAATTCTGTTTGTGTAATTGGTAATCGTGTTCTTAAATTCCTACTTAATAGCATTTGACTTGGTGATAAATTTATACCTGAAATTGGAGTATTTCTATATTCCAGTAAAGCCTCATTTAATTTCTCTAATCCTGCTTTTCTAAATAAACTCTTAGCTATACCTACCAACCTTTTCTGCAAATCCATTAGATTTAGGATATCGAGGACTGCTAGTGATTATTTCAAATCCCCAATCCCTTGCGAAACTCTTCATTTTCCAACTATTAAATGGTACGTTATCACAAATTAAAGTTTTGGGTATTCCATGTGTTGCAAATATCGATTTCAATTTACTAGTAACTTCCACTGCACTTTTATTTTTTAGAGGAATTATGTCTACCCATTTAGTTAAGTAACAGCCTATTACTAGATAACTTTTCCCTGCATACTCACAGATATCAGCACCAACCTTTTCATAAGGTAAACTGGGAATTTCATGAGAAACAAGAGGTTCTTTTACTGTTTGAGGCCTGAACCTATCACAAATTAGGCATTTAGAAATCATATTCTCAATGTCACTGTTGATTCCTGGCCAAAATAGTACTTGTCGAGCCCTAGCTTTTGATTTTTCAATCCCACAGTGAGCTTCATGCAATAATGTTAACATACACTTTCTTAATGCAACAGGTACTACAATTCGATTATTAAAAAAAAACTAAATCTTGTTCAACACTCAACTCATTTTTAAATTTAAAATAAGATCTTGCTTCTTTAGGAACTTTATCAACACTCAAAGGCCATCCATTTTGCCAATATTCTTTCACTAGCATTAACCCTTCATCTTCTAATGTAGCTTTCTGAAATTCCCTTTTCTTACTCTCAGACATTTGCAGTTGTTTTGTTAGTGTATGAACAATCTCTGTCATATCCATGTTTTCATTTGTGTGTGTATCAATAAAGGAATGTGACAGTAAATCTGCAATATACATACATATATTTCCCAGGCAAATATTTAAGTTTTAAGTTATTTTAAGAGCTTAATTTTTATCCTCTGCAATCTATTTGACAACACATTAGCAATATTTTTGTTCATAATTGAAACTAATGGTTTATGATCAGTAAGCACTTCTACCTCTCTACCATAAATGTAATAGTGAAATTTATTAGCAGCAAATAAAATACTAAGAAATTCTTTCTCAATCTGAGCATAGTTTTTTTCTGCATTATTTAAACTCCGAGACGAAAAAGCAATTGGTTGCCCATTCTGCAATAAGCAGCAGCCTAACCCATCTTTAGAACTATCTGCCTGTATAGTTATAGGTTTACTGCTATCAAATATTCCTAACACAGGTGCATTGGAAATTAATTTTTTTTTTTCCTGAATGCTTTAGAATGTAGCTGTAACCACTGCCATTCTACTTTGTTTTTCAAAAGTTCCCTTAATATGGCTGTTTTCTCTGAAAAATGTGGTACAAATTTCCTCAAATAATTACACATTCCCAAAACACGCTGTAATTCATGCTTATTCTGAGGTTCCTGTAACTCAGTAATGGCTTTAATTCGATCAGGATCAGGTCGCATGCCTGACGCATTAAATAAATGACCTAAATATTTAACCTCACTAACCCTATATTGAAGTTTTTGCTTGTTGAATTTAATATTGAGTTTTTTAGCTCTGTTGATGACCTCTGTTAAAATTTTATCATGTTCTTGTATAGTGCTAGCAGCAATGAGGATGTCATCAAAATAGACCAATACTCCTGGTATATCACCAAAGTTTTCAAGATTGCGTTTCTGAAAAATTTCAGGTGCACAGGAAATACCCATTGGAAGCCTTAAGAATTTATAGCATCCAAATGGTGTGCTAAAAGTACAAAGATCACTACTATTTCCATCTAACGCTATTTGAAAAAAACCCATCCTTTAAGTCCAAAACAGAGTAAATTGATTTATTACATAGCTTTGGTAAAATCTCCTCAATTGTTGGAATCAACACATGTTCTCTTTTTATAGCTTTGTTAAGATCTTGAGGATCAAGGCATATTCTTAAGGATCCATTAGCTTTTTCAATTATTACTAGATTGCTAACCCAGTTCAAAGGTTGATCAACTTTTGCAATAATGCCCTGTCTCTCTAATTCGCTTAATTTTAATTCAAGTTTAGGTTTTAAACTAAGTGGTACTCTACGTGGTGGTCTCACTACAGGAGCTATCTGATCATCAACCATGATTTTACACAATCCACTAAATTTCCCCACACCTTCAAACACTTCTGAATTATTAATAATAAATTGATCTTTAGATGGAGGTAAAACAATTGTATACTGATCCAACTTACCTTTAATTGATATTCCAACCTTATTTATAAACTGAATTAAATTAAGTTTAACACATGCATCAATTCCTAATAATGGACGTATATGCTTGCTAGAAACAATTAAAAACTCTAGAGTATGATCCACACCATCTGAGGAACATTGTAACATTAATGACCCATCAGGTTTAACCTTGGACCCCCCAAATGCTTCTAATACAACATTACACTTGTTTAAAATAAGATTAGAGTTCTTAGCACTCAGTGTTTCGTAAGTTTTCACAGGCAAAACATTCACTTCAGACCCTGTGTCCAACTTAAAAGTCACAGTTGTCCCTTCAACAATTAAAGTTTTAGTCCACTCTTTTGTAGATGATGTTGAGCACACACTTTTAGTTCTTTGAACATTTATGGAATTCACGAAGAATTCATTATCAGATTCCCTATATACATCTGCGTTATCATGCTGAGAAACATTTTGGATGTGCTTCAGTCTGCACATAGTCGAAAAGTGATTTAGTTTGCCACAATTAAAGCATTTTTTTCCATATGCCGGACACTGTCCATTAACGTGATGTCTGTTGCATTTTTTACATACATAAAGATGTCTCAGTATTTGAAGTGTCATCACTCCATCCTCTGTGCTTCCTCACTGCTAAGGCTGCATTGGCTCCTCCTGTCCGATGTTGCTTCACTTTTTCCTCTAGTTACGCTGTCAACATTGTGTTCTCTTAACGTTTGAGCACGAGCTTTGCTCAATTCAGCTGCTTTCCCTAATTCAATTGCTTTTTCCAAACTCAGATTATTTTCTCGCAGCATCCTCTCCTGTAAACTGGCATCTGATACTCCAAGGACAATGCGATCACGTATGACAGAGTCACTCTGCTCACCAAATTCGCAAGATTTTACAAGTTTTTTCAGGTCAGTTACGAAACAATCAAAAAGTTCCCCTTCTTCTTGTTTTCTCTTATTGAATAAAAATCTCTCCACCACAACATTTGTTCTAGGTGTCGTGAAAGCTTCAAACCTCTCAAGCACTTTTTCATAGTTACCCTGATCTCCTGTTGAAAGATTGAACGTGTTGAACACTTCAACTGCTTCCTCACCAGCGGCATTTAAAAATAAAGCAACTTTCACATCTGAATCTTTTGAAGCATTTCCTGAAGCTTTCATATAAATCTGGAACAGCTGCTTGAATCTGCGCCAGTTTTCAGCCACATTGCCGTCGAAACTTAGGCCTTGCGGTGGGCGACAAAATTCCATCTTGCGTCTGCTGAGAGGAAAAACAACCAAGGGGATTGATTGCCTGGCAATTAGTTGTAATACTATTCCACACGACTACGCCATGTTTTAATCATATTAATATTTATTGATCTATAATTAAGTTCATTACAACACGTTCACATAGCACATTGTTTATTCCACACAACATTCAACTGACTATTACTTCACTTCAGTTTGACCAGCAACTAGTGTGTTGCCACATATATGTAACACCCTCCCCTAAGTTTAGAGAGAAATATACCAAAATGTACAGTGACGTTGTGCAGGGAAAGGAAAGGCAAGTTTTATAATAACAGGAATAAGAAGGCTAGAAAATATTTTTGACCTTGTCAGGCATATGAAATCACCAAGACTGCTCTTTGCAAGGTTTCAGGATATGTTTAAAAAGGGGTGCTTTTTTAGAAGACCCTATAGCATGAAGACTAATTAATTAATATGTTTACAAAGACTTTAATAAGTCTTACTTTTATATCACAGGAAAGGATCTTCCTGCATTTTTTTGCCCAAATGTGTAGCTACTAGATCACTTATACTTTCTTGAACAGTGATTGGTTGCACATGTGAGAACACAGTAAGCAACCACCACTGTGAAATATGCTGCATTCATGAAAGTCAGATACACACAGCAATCCTCACACAAAGTGCATTTGCTGGTTCAGCTATCCAACGCTTACAAAATTACATACAAGCACTGGAGGCTTGGCTGGTAAAATGGAAGATCAAAGTTAACATAAACAAAACTCAGGCCATTCTCTTCACTCGCAAGGAGAAATTTAAGAGAAACCTGATAATGTATGGCAATTCTATCCCCTGGGCCAAGCAAGTCCCTTACCTTGGGGTGACCCTCAGTAAAACTTTGTCATGGAACACACACATTACAAATATTATCAACAAGTTTCGAGCACGTAAAGCTAAACTCTTCCCCTTAATTGCTCGAAACACTGTTTTATCAATAGATAATAAGCTACTCATTTATAAATCCATTTTGCGTCCATTACTATACTATGCATGCCCTGTCTGGGCGTACTCATGTAACAGATACAGAGGGAAACTAGGTGGCACAAAATTGTATGCTACGCCAAATTGTCAACGCACCTTGGTATGTGCGTAATAACAAAATCCTTGAGGAAACTGGGTGTACGCCCCCTCAAATCATTTTATTATAGCCAAGAGGTTTCACAGCAGGCAGCTCACAATCAACAACCCTGCCATTAAGATCCCTGATTATGATCAGTATGACCTGGAGAATGAAAATCGACCACTGGCCATTCTCAACGAATGAATAATGTAAGCTTGTCGCATAGCATAGTAATGTTCTTCTTTCTGTTATTACAATCATGTATTTTATCCTGAGCACCTTCATTCATTTTTTTTACCATTGCAATGCTTTATTTTATATTCACTATTTTGTACTGTTATATATGCATATCTTATTTATTTACCTACCACCTTTCTATTTTGAGCAAGGGCATGTAGCACTTTTGTACTCCTTGTACCACTAATATCTTCCTTTCAGGACATCAGCTCGGCGGCTTTCTGTTCTTAACAGCTAAAATAAAAAATAAAATAAATAAATAACTCATGTAAATATAAATGTATATAGTCATAAAAATGTTATACATGTAATATCTGGCTAATTTTTGCAATAATTCGCAATGTCTTGATATGTTCTACAAGGGGTAGGGCCTTCGGCCCAGGTACCCTGGTGTACCAGACACCGCTCCACTTGAGAGAGTGCCCTAAACGCGCTTCCAAACCAACAGTTTGGTTTCCGTAAAGGGTTGTCTATCACCATGCAGCTTGTCAGAATCGTTGAATTTTTAAGCGCAGCTATTAATAAGCACCAGACAACTGCTTTCCTTATGCTGGACGTGGCAAAAGCCTTTGATCGCGTCTGGCATAACGGACTTATCTACAAGCTTGCTTCCCTCGATCTCTCCAGGGAAACGATTTTGATTCTTCACTCCTTTCTAAGTGATCGATCCTTCTATGTCAGGCAGGGCAATGTTTATTCTGAAAATACATTAATTAATTAATGAAAACATATTACTGATAGGACGGCACAGAAGA